ATAAAAATAGGAGGGAAAAAAAAAAGAGTGAGGAAGGTGGGATCATAGGATCATGGAAAGACGGGTGAGAAAAATAAAAAATAAGAGAGAGAGAAACGGGAAAGTAAAAAATGTACTTGTACGATATTTTTTTAAAATCTCAGCTATTGTTTTATAATTTGAATAGATCTGAGCTGTCCAAATGTCTTAGTAGGACAAATTTGTGTAGGACAAATTCAAAAACTATTCTGGTTTATTATATAGATGTTGAAGATTCATATGAAGTCTAAATTTATAAAGTCTATCAGGTTATTCAATATATTTAAAAATAATAATTAATTATTCAAATTCATTTAACTTGTAGACTATAAAATTCATTAATTTAATCTCTACTACAGATAATAAAATCTGGATCCTAATTTTGGAATTGCATATTTTTCCATATAATATGAATAAAAATAAGTGAACAAAAATGAGAAAATAAAAAAAATAAACAAATAGAGAGAAAAATAAAAATGAAAGAAAATAAAAAAATAAAAAGAAAAGAGAGATGAAGGTGGGATTGTGGGATCATAGAAGGATGGATGAAAAAAAATAAAAAGTAAGAGAGAGAAGCGGGAAAATAGAAAATGTACATGTAGGATATTTTTTGAAAAATATATCTCAGCTGTTATTTTATAATTTGAATCGATCTGAGCCGTCTAAATGTCGTAGTACAACAAATGTGTGCAGGACAAATTCAAAAATCATCCTGTTCTATTATATAGATATATATTTTTTAAAATTTTAAAAATCTGTATCAAAGTGTTTGATGAAAGTTGAGGAAATGTGCCTTTAAGTTTTGTTTTAAAATTATCAACTTTCAACCATATAATTATGGGGAAATTACAAATTAATACACATGATAAAAAGAAATTACAAATATATAGAGGTATAATTCTTTCTATGTAAAAAAACACAACAAAAATTACACCTCAAAAAATATCTCATTTTTTTTTAGTAAATATTGTTCTCGCTTCCAATTGGATTGTAGCTTCCCCTATAATTATTGAGCCAACAAATGTACAACCCTTATCAGCAAGCATTGCTTGTAATGTACAGACAATGGAACAGTAATTCAATAATTGTGCTGCCAATTCCCCCCTCCCCCCAAAATAATAATATTAAAAAAAAGTGAAAAAAGAAGACACTTGTGCTACAATACTATACATGCATTAATTACTATCTCTAAAATTTGGAAAAATTACTGTGGAAGTGTCCATGTTGTGCCAAAGGTAAATGGATATGAATTTAGGAATTGGACAATGTCCTTGCTATGCTCCTTGGGGTTTCACTTCCAACTCACCTCAACAATTTCAACAGTTTATATTATAAAATTTATTGAAAATATTATTTATATAAAAAATTAGATTGATCAGATATTAGTATCAATATGATTGAATTATTTTCTTTTAAAAAATATGAATAATTTATTCTCAAAATCATATTTGCCGTCCATATTTTGTTGGCATAAATGAGACTTGATTATTACTAGTATCCAATTAACTTAATTTTTTACGTGGATGATTTTCTCGATGGGCCTAACAATGTGAATGGTTCAAATATTAGAGATGAGTTTAAAATGGAGTTTAGTTAGATTATGTTTGGATCATGAATTTGTATAGGAATTTGGAAGGGAAATGAAAAATGTTGATGAAATGTAATTATATTTCATTTATATCTCACCTAATTTTTTCCTTTTCTTTTTCAAATCCTTATCTAAATTCATGATTTGGACACATCCTAAAAGGCACAATATCCTTTGTTGTACCTAATTCGAATGGTTAGATTATAAAGTAAAATATGTCGGCCATGATTCTTAGGGATTATTTGGAGAACTGCTAAAAAAATTTAAAAGTCAAAAAGTTATTATAAAATATTAATTTATTTTTTATTATATTTTTACACATTCTTTTATAAAAAGTAATTAAAAAAAATTAATTTCCAAACATCTGTTTAATATCCCCTACCAAACTTTATCCACATAACGTGGTATGTTGCATGTTTTTATTTAGAAATAAGTCAATTAAAACTTAACCCCTATCATTTTTATATGAATTAATTGAAGGGTGATTTTAAGAATCTCTAAGCATTAATCTTTGATAAATACCCTTTTAGGAGACTTGTCATGGGTAAAAAAAGACTCTAGAAATTGAAAATCTTAAGTGATTCGTGATTAAATTAAAATTAAAATATTTCAATTTCCAATTATCCAAAACACTCAATCTAAATCATCAAAGCATTTACGAAAGTGATTTAGAATGTTGTTTTCGGAATAAACAATAAATCGACACAAACGATTTTTACGTGGAAAAAATCACGATTGAAGAACCTTCAATTGTAATAAAAAATCACGAGCGAAACGCCACTAATCAATCCACTACTGAAGAAAGAAAGATTACAAAGATAACACACAAATTACCCAACTCAGTCAATTTGTCTTCGAATCTTCTGTAACTCTTTCAGCACGCCTTTGTCTCGGAACTGATCAATCCTGAAATTGAATTCACAACTTCACTTGTCGAATTAACGACTACGTATAGAATCAAATGCCTTTTGAAACTCTACGTTTGAATCTTCGAAATCCACCGAAGAGAACTCTCTTGAACGTAAAGTAACAAACTCCTTGATGTATGTAGCTTAGATCATGAGTGAAGAACTCTCTCAAAACATCAAGGAAAACTCACCAAAACTTTTAGAAGAAAACTTCAAACAAAACCCTAGGACTCTTGAATAAGATCTAGGAAAAGTAATCCTAGAAAAAGACCCAACACGCGAATTTATAAAATCTATGTTTGCACGGTCCGCTCGAGCATGGGAATTCTCGCTCGAGCGGAGGCTTCAAAATTGTCTTAGATCATGAGTGAAGAACTCTCTCAAAACATCAAGGAAAACTCACCAAAACTTTTAGAAGAAAACTTCAAACAAAACCCTAGGACTCTTGAATAAGATCTAGGAAAAGTAATCCTAGAAAAAGACCCAACACGCGAATTTATAGAATCTGTGCTCGCACGGTCCGCTCGAGCATGGGAATTCCCGCTCGAGCGAAGGCTTCAAAATTGTGTGATTCATATAGGCTTCACGCTCGAGCGGAAGTTTCCACACTCGAGCGTCGAATCATACCATCCAGTACTTTTTCCGGCGAAGCAGAGATGCTGTGAGTTTGCAATCCGCGCTCGAGCGTCACTTTCCCCATTCGAGCGGGGAGACCAAAATTGAAAAATCTGAAAAACTAGATCCTGTTACAACCTCAATTTTGATCCATGGAATTTGACAACAAAGGATCCTAACAATAATAATGTAAAGCCAACAAATGATGCTATCCAAACAATTAACATTTACCCAACATTCTAAAATTCACATCCCACAATATCCGTTCGAGTTCACGGGTTAAACTCACTTGGACCCATTCCAGTGCTCCTCTTTGTCCACAAACTACATCATTTCAATGTAGACTGTAGTAGTAGTACTAGTTGTAAAGTGTGTCCCCCCAATCCCTACTCCCTACCATAATAATGTACCCAACCCATTTACTTCTTATGGTGAAATCTTATAAAAAAAATTAGAGTCCAAGCTCAAATGTCACTTTGTCACTCATATATACATAAAATTTTATAAATATTAGTAATTATTCTTACTTTTATTAAAAAGAGTTAGATTAGTGCAATAAGTTGACAACTCTATTATCTTGAGTTTGAAATCTCACTTTATTAATATCTAAATGCCTCTTTACGATCACTTGGACTATAGCCCAAGTCTAGTACTCTCATGTACGTAAAAATGAATGAGATTTAACAGTTTTAGATTATCAACATGTTGGGGTGCTCTCAAACTAATAAAAATACTAAGACAATAAAATGAATAGAGTTGATGTGATTTATTTTAGTCGGTTGGGTGAGAAATAAGTTCGGTTCATCCTTGCTCTTTTGTAAGGCTGCATTGGTTCGGAATTTTATGTGCATGCCACGATGATACAATGAAAGTATTTTGGTTGAAAAAAAAAAATATTTTCAGTTATTTAAAGCCAATTTTTAAAAAGTTTAATTCGAAGTTAACTTTTTCAGCATATTGATCTTTTCAAAATTGAAAGGGTGACTCTTCATTGCGTTTCTACCCAATGCATATAATATAAAGTTTTTATTTCAAAGAGCAACTAAATACCAAAAAATAAAAAAATAATTTTTTAATACAAAATCAATTTACATAAAAAAAAAATATATTTTTGAAGCTACATCAAACAAACTTTTCCTAAGCATTTAAGGGAAAATTACCAATTAGTGATAATTTGAGATAATTATTACATATTTATGAAAACAATTTATGATTTAAGTTATTAATATTAATATGTGTCACCACTTATTTGTAATTAACTTTTAATATAAAATTTCGAGTTGATTTAAAGGCAATATGATAGTACTATTAAAGAAGAAGGGGGAAAAAATAGGAAAATGAGTATTAATTGGGTGTTTTTTCTAGGGCAACGACGTTTGCGTTTGATTAGAAAAAAAATTTAGTAGAAAGTGAAAGTAAAAGAAAATAAATAGAAAAAATATATATATTTTCTTTCAAACATTTGGTTAAAATGAAAATTTCGTAACAAAAAGATAGAAAAATTTATAAGTTTAAGTTATGGATAACTTACACAAGTAGTACAATTATTGTACTTTTAAAAAAATGATTTTTCAAAATTATTCTTTTTGATAGTATGTTTTTTTGGAGAATATCAATGTCATAATTGTATTTTTTATATTGCTAATGAATTTAAAAGAAGGAAAAAATAAGAAATTTATATTATTTTTATACTTCATTTTTTAAAAAAATTAATATTTTGAGATAATAAAAAATAAAATAAATAAGTAATATTTTGAGACAAAGAAGTAATTTTAAACAAACTGACCCTTACAGATCACTTTCGGGGGGCGGTCAGAGAACTGATGACGTGTCACCTTCCGTCACCGCTATAAATACGGGGTGCTTTCGCAGCATCCTTTCCCCTCATCATCCATCACTCTTCCCCCTTCAAAATCTCTCTCTCTCTCTACAAAGTGCAGAGTGAGTTTCAAAAATGGTGGTTGCGTGAAGAAGAAGCTTGGTATCTCTGTGTGTTTTCTCGAGAAGTCATAAAACAGTTGTTGTCTTCCAAGTATTGAGAATGGGAAAGACCAAAGACCTCAATCACAAAGATAGAGAGATAGTCGAGGCTGTTCTTCACCTCCTCCGCAAACAATCCCCTCTCTCTCTTCGACAGGTATATACATATATATATATATATATGATGAGACAGAAATTAAGAAAGAAATGTCAAACTCAAAATTAATGTGTGTATATATATATATCAGTAATTACTTAGCCTAAGTCTAAATACATACCTCATATATGTATCTATATAAATTTTGAGTTTCACATTTTTTTTTTTAAATTTGTATATATATAAATTAGTGATACCTGCACATCTGATATATCTGTATAGTTAAATCTGAAAAATATAAAATTTTATTTTGATTTAAAAATATATCAAAATTCTTGATTTTGACTTCCAATTTGGTAGTACAAATAGAGTAGAATAACATTTTCAAAAATCATAAATATTTATATATATATATATATATATTTCTACTGTAATTATTTTGTCATACCTATATATATACATATATCTACTAATATGATTTTTAACTATTAGCTATTTAAACTTCAAACTCATGACTTTTCATATGAGTATACATATCTTGATATATATATATGTGGTGATGGATCTAGGGGTACCCTTAAAAAAAATTAAAAAATATCATATGTTATATTAAAAAATTTACACTTCTAAACATATTTTGGCACTTCATAGTAATAATTATGAATCTGTCTGATGTGATTGATGTGTTTGACAGGAAAAATTCTGCAACTACGCTTGTGTCCAGCGGTTTCTAAAATCAAAAGGTGATAATGTGAAGAAAGCTGCGAAGCAACTTCGAGCTTGCATTTCATGGAGAGAGACTATCGGCACTGGTAATACTCTTCTTCTTCTTTGAAAACATCACATTTTGAATCTTCTATTTTACTTTTTTTTTTCCTTCTCTTTTTGTTTCTTTTCATCTTTTTTTTTTTTAATGCTTTTGTTTTTTTCCTTTGTTTTTGAATTTTTCAGTTAAAGTAATGATTAAAGTTAAATATTCAAAACAAAATAAAATTAAAGTTTTTTTGTTTTTATTGTGATTTGAGTACAGACAATTTGATAGCTGATGAGTTCTCCGCCGAGATCGCCGAAGGCGTTGCTTATGTCGCCGGTCACGATGAAGATTCCAGACCCGTGATGGTAATTTTCTCTCTCACTTTCCCTCACTTTCTTTCCCAAGAAAACCATGCTAAAACTGTCTGGACATGTTGTACTTTCTTCCTTAGATTTTCCGGATTAAGCAAGACTACCCGAAGTTGCATTCTCAGAAACTGTGAGTATACCCTTGAAATTACAATATGTATGTGTGTTAAGTCGTTATCACTCCTACTGTTATATATTAATTAAATGTAGATATTGAAATATTTTTTTAAAAAAAATCTGATAATTAAAAATACAAGCTAATTTTTTTTTAATAACCGGTTTTTTTATTTTTTAAAATTTATTCTGAAGTCTAATTTTGTTCACACTCTTTGATTGGTGGAGAATGGTGGAACCATTACACTTTTTGGAAATAAAGTTCACATTTTTTGATCAATTATATTTTATGTATCGTTCATACTAAAAAAAATGTGTAAACAAATTTATTTTTTCTATTTGTGCTCATAAATTGTAATAAACAAAAGGTGAATAAAATATTCTAACACAAATTTTTTTAAAGCAAATAAAAATAAATTATACATGTCCACAAGGTACGTATAACAAAATATATCAAGATTTTAAATTTTTAAATATGAAATGAATTTGAGTCAATAAATCATAGATTGATATTTCTGGATAAAATTTTTACAATGTTTGAATTTTCATAGGTTTGCTCGTTTGCTGGTGTTTACATTGGAGGTTGCCGTTCAAACCATGCCCAGAAATGTTGAACAATTTGTTCTTCTCCTTGATGCAAGTAAGTCTTCTGTGAAATGACTTTACTGCCCTTTGTTTACTCACGTTAAAATTTGAAAACTAAGGATATATTAGTAATTTAAAAGCCCTCTTTCTCACTCCAAATCTCATCACAGCCTTTGGCCGGGGCAATTAATGTACATTCCATAGTATGACTTTTTTCAGCCTACACATACCTGGTTCACTTTAATTTCCTAGGTCACGCTCAATCACTGTAATCAATGAAGTATATTTAATTTAATTAATTAAACAAGAAAACAGAGAATAAACTTTTGATGGTGATTGTGCATCGGGAGAGGATTCTCTGTCCAGTAGCGTTTTCTTGTACAAAATATGATCATATAATTATCTACACGTTTAATAAAAATTTTTGATACGAAACAAGTTATGTTTGATTTTGCAAAACTTTCACATGTTTAAAATTTTTCGTATGAGTTTGTTGTGATTTGTAAGTTCTTGTCTAAATTATTTATAAAATTATTAAATTGACCTAATAATTATAATTGCATGATTTTATTACATTTATTTTTGAAAGATAACAAGTATAATTTTAAAAATTTACCATTTATTTTTTTTGAATATAAATTTGATAAAAGTATGTAATTACAATGGTTGGATCAACTGAAACTTTTGATAAATGATTTACACCTAAAACTTTCAAGATTAAGGCCTATTTTGATAATTGGATTAGAAGTAAGCTTTTTGACATTTTAACCTTTTTTGGGTCACATAACTTCTATATTTTTTATACAATTTTTTCAAAAAAAGTAAAAAAAAAATAAATTCAAATAACTAACTTTTAACCCACTTTTCAAAATATGCCCAACTATACAAAAACTTAAAATAAAATCCGTAATTTGTTTTGGGTTATAGGGAGAGGATTGGGATTCATAGTGAGGTAGAACCCAAGAATATCATGTTTGTTTTGAGAGATGGAGAGGGGATTCGTAATCCCCTTCGGACTACGAATCCCCTTGGAAAGGGGATTAGGATAGGCCGGTAGGACTTGGTATTAGAAAAATAGTCTGGCAGACTAGAAATTTTTTATTTTATTTTTTACATGTCGGGTATTTTTTTTTTAACATTAATGTTTAATTTTTTGTATTTTTTGTTAAGTAAAAATCGTTATTTTATTTATTTTATTTTTATTTTTTTAAAATTTTTTGCATCTTGGACATTTTTTTTAAAACATTAATGTTTAATGTTTTTGTATTTTTTTTATTTGTTTTATTATTTTATATAAAAATAATTTAACAATTCCTCACTAACAATTCTCTCACTATTAATTCCCTCACTATGAATTCCTTTCATTCTATCTTTGAAAACAAACGGGGCTATACACCTAAAAATCACACATTTTAACGTGATCTTTACTTGGGGCATAGACCATTGACTTATCATAACAAGACGATTGGGATTGGTAATGAGGAGGTAGAGATGGTATTAGAAAAATAGTGAGGAGATTATAAATTTTTTTATTTTTTTTATATTGGGAATTTTTTTAAATATAATGTTTAATTTTTTATATTTTTTTATTTGTTTTATTATTTTATATAAAAATAATTTAACAATTCCTCACTAACAATTCTCTCACTATTAATTCCCTCACTATGAATTCCTTTCATTCTATCTTTGAAAACAAACGGGGCTATACACCTAAAAATCACACATTTTAACGTGATCTTTACTTGGGGCATAGACCATTGACTTATCATAACAAGACTATGTATTACAGAGAATCTTGACCCTTCGATTCAACAATTAGTGAGTGGAATTTGAATCTTCAATATACTGTATGTAAAGGGTGTCGTTAATAACAGACTTGGAGGAATTTTTGTAAGAAGCATAACATGTTAAAATATTTATAATTTTAGTATATAAATTTTACATATTTCAATACATTTTTGTTACACATTTTCAATGTTATTTTGAACAGTTTTCTTAAGTAAAATATCAGTGAACCCCATGTCAAAAATTGCCTGGAGTGCCCTTAAACCAAAGAAAAAGTGCCTAAAATTTCAACTCGTTATTTTTTTTTTTATTTCTTTATTTTTATGCCAGTACTTTCAGAGCTAGCTAGACAGCAAAGTAGTGAGACAATGCATGTGTTTTTTGATTTGAGAATTATTCTAGTTTTTGGGGTGAATATAATATTATTATGATGGTGCAGGCTTTTACAGATCAGCATCAGCTTTTATGAATATGATGATGGCAACACTGAAGATCATAGCTGAGTACTACCCTTCTCGCCTTTACAAGGCTTTTGTCATTGATCCTCCATCCCTCTTCTCTTATCTTTGGAAGGTATGTTTTTTTTTTTCCCCCTACTTTCCGATGTACCCAAAGAAAAAAAGAAGGTATGTTTTCATTTAAACTCAAATCAACTCTCAATAATGCCTATAAAATATTTAAATTTTTCACAAAAAATAAAATAAAATGCATGTACAACAATATAATGGGTACAGTATTGTCAGCTAAATCAAAGTAAATAATAAGTCATCTTGGTTTAATATAGTGGTCCCGTTTGGTAGAGTTGTTGGAAAGTGATTATACCTTATAACTTAACAACTTATAACTTATGGCTGTAAACATAAGCTAATTTTTGACTTATAAATTAAGTTTCTCCTTCTCCACTCAAAGAATAAGTTAATTTTTGACTTATAAAAAGTATAAGTTGTATTATTAAACTGAACCAAACACATCAAAATAACTTAAATTAAATTAAAAATTAAAATAAGCTAAAAATAAGTCTTACCAAACAGGGTCGGTAAATAAGTCACCTTTTAAGATAAAGTATTCTCGCCTTGATTTCAGTTTAAAATTTTGTTTGTTAATTTTTTTTTTTTTTTTTTTAATATTGTTCTCACCCTTAGACTCATCACAAGTCATACTGTGATATATGGTCATTTCATCCTTTAAGCTTGTGGATAGACCATTTGCATAATCATTGATTTTATAATATTTGTATTTAAAAAAGAAAAAAAGGAATGAGAAGTAATTTTTCATAGACTAGCTATGATTATCAAGTAAATTTGATTTTTATAAATAATCTATATAATAAAATTTCAAAAAGAAAAGGATTAAGGTCAAGTTTGGCATGACCTAAATAATACAAAAAGTCAAAAAGTCATTATCCTATTTAAATCACATCATCTTATTTAAATCATATCACCTCTCTAACACATCACATCAAACCTAACCCAAACCCAACTCATATAAGTCAATAAGTCAAAAAGTACACTTTTTTAGAACATCCCAAACCAACCCTAAATTATCAATGTGAGAATAGTAGTAGTCTCATTTTTAAAAACCGTATCTTATAATGTAGATTTCATCCTTGTCTAATGATTATACTAAGGCCTCGTTTGGCAAGTGTCCATTTTAGTCAAAAAGTTATTAAAAAAATCAAAAAGTCAACAACTCATACAAAAAAGTCAAAGATTTTTTTTTCTCTATTTTTTGTACATCTTTTCGTAAAAATCTAAAAAGTCATCCCAAATATACTAGTTTTTTTTACATCACATTTTAACAAAAAAATTAAAAAATTACTAAAAAAAGCATATTCTCAAACGAAACCTAAAAATGAATCCAAATCATATATTTTAATAATTTTTAAGTGTTTTGAATATTAAATATTACTATACTTACTAATAATCAATACATTGTTCAATGTAGTGGTACAAGTCATACACAGCTGAACTTGGTTTGGATTGTCCTACAATGTACATGTCTTTTTCTTCTCTTTTATGTCATAAAATGTTCAAATACACCAGTGCACAGTTTCTACTTTTCTAGCATTATTGGAACCCGCAATTCACGGTGGTTTCAAAGTCCTTTTGTTGACTTTGCCTCTTTTCAAACTCACAGTACATCATATCCAAAATATTCAAAGTTTAAACTCAACACTTGCGTTGGGTGGCTATATTCTTATGCCCTGGGCGGCTCTATTCTTATGCCCACAACTCTTGGATTTTAATTTTTTATAAAAAAGAAGTATAAAAAAATAAAAAAGTGATATAATAATTTATTCTGTTTGGCAAGTGAATTTTTAATTTTTTTTGAATAAAATTTATAAAAATATAAAATAGACTAAAGTAGCCAATAATATAAAATGTTATATTAAACCCATAATCATTTTACTTTTTCTCTTACAAATATCACATTCAATTATAAAAAAAATTAACTCTCTTTCTAAATACAAATTTTAACTTATTAAAATAGTCAAAAACTAAAATACCTTAATAAAATAACTAACTTCTCAAATGAGGTCAATGATTCTTTGATTTTTCGACTAAAATGTTTAATTCTCAAACAAGAGACTTCATTAGTTAGACTGGTTTAAGTTAATTAATTAAGTTTCTTATAGAAGAGTTTGAAATTATAGTCATCAATGAAGTCTATTAGTTGGTTGGCACTTTAGGTCGACAAATTCAAAGCATAGAATTGTTAACTGAAAGGTCTATATGAATTTAGATTACTCATTCGCTTTTACAGAACTAGAAAATAAGATGAGAGTGGTCAAACGATTAAAACCTTATTGAACTATGTCGGACTCTCATTGATTATGAAAATAATAGCGTTACGTGCATGAAAGTAATTAATATATAATTAGATTCATTTTAAATGTTGTGAAATTTATAATGACTCAAAATAAATTTGAATTACATATTAAATTTTTTGTGCACATAAATTACTACTATGAAAATAAAACTTAGGCCTTGTTCGGCAAGGCAAAATTTGCCCCTTTTTTTTCTTTTTATTTTTTAAATAATTCTACACAAATTTTGAATAATACTATATGTATTAATTAATATACACATTACTGTATTAACAGATGATGTGACATCATTTGTGTGGTTTTAAGTATTTGTAATTGTATAATAAATGTAATTAGTAATAAGATCATAATACTAATTGATATACTAATGTGTATATTAATTGATACATGTAATATTACCGTAAATTTTTAGCACAATATGCTCAATTTACCAATTTTTTGAATCTATTTTATTATTTTATTTTGCAGGGTGTACGCCCATTTATTGAGCTATCACCAATCACCATGGTGGTCTCATCACTTGACTTTGAAGGGCCATTAGAGTTCAACGACTGCTCATCCTACCCACGAGCCTCATCCCTCCGATTCGACCCCTCCTCAGTCCCATCAACGGACAAGATTGGCTCTTGCTCCTCTTCGCGGTTTTCATTCACTGTTTCTCACCACTTCGACTCCCTCAAGCCCTGGTACCTGTCATTGACTGACATGTCAACATCCAAGGTGGGCCCCACTACCCCCTCTTCTTCTCTCTTGGGCCCTGCTTTGATCTCCCCTCTCAACGCCCGATCCCTCTCATTCGCATCACCAGTGGCCAGGACGCCACCTGGCAACATCAACGGCTCTAAGAGGGGGTTCTTTCCATCAACACCGTTGCCTCAAAAAACCCAAAATGTGGACCCCACAAGCATCAACCATCCGAGGACACCAAAGCCCTCGTTCCTCCAATCACCAGCCATGTTCTTCCGGAAGGATTGCCACGTCAGTCGGTCCGAGAAGTCTCGAGATTCGTTCCTTCCATTTTTGAAATTTTATCGCCGACCGTATGATGAGATGACTTATAAGGCGAGAATGAGGCCCCCATTAGGCGGTCTAATCTCCATCGTCTCTCCTCAACTTAGGCGTCACCACATGTCAGTGTCTCAACGGTTCTGATTAAAATTTCAAACGGTATATAGTGATATGTTAATCAAGTTTATGTACACAAAATTAAAACCCTAAAAAGTAACAAAGATGTATATGTCAACATGATAGAACCATATGACTATTTTTAAAGATTGATTTTATTATGTTGGCATATATATTTTTAATACTTTTTTGTGATTTAATTATGTGAATGTAGACCTTTTTCTTAATTATATATTGACAAGAGATACCTCTACTAATAATTGATTAGTATTGTTTGTTAATTCAATCAAGGAATTAATAGTGCTTTATTACATCTCGTGCGTTGATTTTGATTACCAATGCCATCAAAATTGGAGAGAGAGAGAGAGTACGTGCAAAGTGGGATGTGAAATAGTGTGCAATCTATATAGATATAGATATGTTTGATTTTGGGTGATGGAAAGGCAAGGCATTGAAAGAAGACAGCGTGGTCGAGACGGTGAACAATTTACATTGGAAATCATATATATGAAGCCTTTGTTTCAATTCTTTTGTTTTTTTGCTTTTGTTTTTTGTGTTTTGAAAATGAAGATTTAGAGTTGTTGATGGGGGTGATGGAATCTTTAGAGTAGTCTCCATGGTTGGACTTTGTTATGTTCACAATAAATAAATAAAAAAGAAATAGAACAATGTTTGAAAACTCCCATTTTCGTATGCTTCTTTTTGTATTTGTATTAGTTGGTCAGTCAATTTATATATATATATATATATATGAAATATATATAATAGTATGTATGTTGGTTTCAACAATGGCAGAGTGGGTAGGAATATGTGTTGTGGATTGTTGCATGAGAAAGTCAAAATGAAAGTTATTAAATAAAATAAATAATAATAATAATAATAATAATAATAATAATAATAATAATAATAATAATTCTTAAATGCAAATTTTTCTGAACTTATTCTTGCCCATGTTTGTTGTAGTGTTTTCAATAAGATTGGAGAGAATCTTTTTGTTTTTTTTTTGGTTTTAAAACATTAAACTCTCACATTTTAAATATCATTTAAGGGAAAATCTAAATGTCTAAAAAAAAATTCACTGAATAAGACACATGTGTCAAATAAAAGGTGTGCCTCACATATGTACTTCACTTATGTGGGTCTCAAACTTTTATCTTATATATCTGTCTTATTCTGTAAAAATCTTATGCTTTCTTAACGTAGTTAATCATTTTATATACAATTTTTTTTTTTTTTTTTGAAATAACTTTATAAAAGCTCTCAAAATGGAGCTTTCACAAAATTCCAGTTCATCTAGAACAAAGCTAGTGACTTGTGGGTTTGTGTTGGTTTTGGAAACAGTTCACACTCATATGTGAACAATCATGTACATAAAACAAAGAATTTCCCTAAATAAATATACGTGCATATATATATATATATATACACACATATAGGACCATGTTTTTGTCGGGTACCCATGTGTCCTTAAGCACTCAAGGTTCTGTTCCTTAGGGCTGATCTATCATTTCAATTCCCTCTTGTGTATAAATTTGTTTTCTAGTTTGCAATGAGCTTCAATGTGGACAAATTAAAGGGGCAGTGTTTGGAGTCAATTCCAATGCATAATCCTTGAAATATGCTTTTTTTGTTTGGTTATGGAGTTTAAGAGTCTCTTTCATCATGTCTTCTTTTCAGTTGTTTGGCTTGAGATGGGATTGTTACCTCAAGACGTGATTGATATATGGATCAGCAATGCTATAAATTAAAAAACAAAAAAATTCGAAAAATACTCGAATTTTCCAAATTATGGTCAAGATTCATTCAAGAAGTGACCCAATAGTAATCACAATTCTTCTATCTTTCTGAATAATTTTTTAAAACTTCTTTTCTAATATCGTAGACTTTCTCTATATAGATAGATATATGGAATGAAGGAAACTCATAATTTTGAGTAAGAAGTGAATCTTATTTGTACTTTGTAGTGCAATGCCCATACAAGTATGCCAGTCCAAAAAGATCTGAGAACAATCCAATTGGAAAGTTAATTATTACATACACTTATCAATTTCCAACTCACATGTTGCTGATAGTCCTATGCCATTGGAAAACGTAGATTAGTTGTTTTCTATTATTTTACATAACATTTTTTCAAAGGATCTAGCTTATCTCATGTTTGAGATTAAAATTGAACTGTCCAGTTTAGTTCATGAGCCTATTTTTGGATTTCGTTTCGATAATCCAAACCGTTTAATGTGTAAAACGCATCGAGTATTATAGCTCTGTTAAACATTACATTGATCAGATTTCGATAGCTATTTAATCGGATCAGATTTGTTAAAAAAATGGATGGTGAAAAAATAAATGACTGACGAAATTCTGATCCGATCAAATAGCTATCAATATCCGATCAATATGTTTTTTTACAAAAATATAATATTCAACGAGTTCTACATATTGAACAGTTCGAATTATCGAAATGAGATCTAAAAATAAACCTATGAGCTAAACTGAATGGTTCAATCTTGATCTTAACATGAGACAAGCTGAACCCTTTTCAAATTTTATTTTTCTCCATGGAATGTGATCCAAATGTACAATAAATGTGTGTGGCCCATAGAAGTGGAATTCACATGTCAAACTCACCTTTTGTTTTGCATTTGTGTCATATTCATTTTATTTTATTTTGGTACACTTAGGCTTTGTTTGGGAAAATACTTTTTAGTAATTTTTTAATTTTTTAGTTAAAATAAGATACAAAAAAAATTAGCATGTTTAGGATGACTTTTTGATTTTTTATGAAAAGATGTAAAAAAAAGTAAAGAGAAAAAAGAAAATTTGACTTTTTTATATAAATTGTTAACTTTTTGATTTTTTTAATAACTTTTTGATTTTTTGAATAAAATCATCACTTGCCAAACGAAGTCTTAAATTGTTTAGAAGTTAATGTTTGTTAGGACTTACAACTTTTTTTTTTCTTTTATCAATTTATAAATAAAAATAAATAAATATATATTTAGTGAGTTGTCAAAAGGTGATTGAGGATAAGGGTTGTTGGAGGGCGTGGTCGGAGGTGGTGGCTGATGGATGAGAGTGCAAGAGAAAAGGAGTCATCACCTGTTGGTTATATAAATTGTAAAAGCCAATCACGATTCAACACGTGGCATGAGACGAACAATTTGGGAAGGTAATATAAATCGCCAACCATAGTCAGACATGTGTCAACCCATACTGGCAAAAATGAGTCTGCATAACACTGGAATGATCAAGGGATATAAGGTGATGTAACCCAACGGTTACTCATAAGGTTCAAATTCAAAATTAGGAGAGAAGCCTAATTGCAGACATGGCGTAATACAGCTAACTGTGAGAAAGTATGATCAGCGATCATGGAGGGATGCTTCGACGGTTAGAAGCTTATTTCGACAGTTAACATTGAGAAGTATAAATAGCAGAGAAGGCCCCAAGAAGACGGACCTAGACTTAGATCTAGAAATCAGTCATTTACTTCATATTTTCCTTTCAGTTTTTACATTTCTTGTTCTTTACATTTATGTTTTTCAAATTCTTGTATTGCACTTTATTCATAGGAGTAGTCTCAAGTATTTTGTTGCTGTAAACCTCCACGAGACTGGATTAGATCATTGTAAGTTTTTCATTTTTATTTAATGAAATGCGATAATTGTTCTTCATTTAATTATTGTTTACCAAATTTTCCTAAACAAGCCACCAGTAAAAGTCCTCTTTATTGAAGCTGAAAGAACTGAAACACAATCGTCTGATAATTGGTTGGCAATTAATCTTCTGTAAGGACTGATTGATTCTTGCTGGCACGCTTAAAATTACAATACTAACTTTCGAAAGCCAAAAAATTAATACGAGAACTGGTGAATGGAAAGGACGAGGGAGAAAGAAAATAGAACTTTTTAAAACAATATTTCTATACCAAGACAAAGGGCGCTAAAGTCATGGGACAAGACCAAAATACAAGCAAGGATGGGCCAAGAATATGTATGACCAAGTACATGCAAACACATCCACCCAAATAGTGGGTTTGCCTGGTTTGGTACTTGGGCACAATCTGGTGTAGCCCAATAGTCTATAGAGCCTCTCACACCCTCCCATTTTGAATGCCAAAGTCATCTTCTTTTTTCTTTTTCTTTTTTTGGTTTTGTTTTTCGCTTTCCCTTTTTCTTGTTTTGCAATCCAACAACAATAAAAAGTTCAAAAATACCCGTAGTTTTTATTCTTGCTTGAAACAATTTTTGAACATTCAAAAGTCACTTACTGATGTTTTCTAAACAAATGGCTTTTGAAAATGATTTGTCGAACAAATTTTCTATATTTCAAAAAGTAAAATACAACCAAGTAGAATTTATATCAAATCCACTACACTGCAGTCCTAGTAAATCATAAAGTTATCAAAGCAACCATGCAATCCCAAAAGCCTAATCGAGGAAAAATTGAAACTACAACAAATTTTCAGTTCTGTTCAATCATTCATAACCTACTGCTGAACTACCATAAACAAGAAGTAGAGCCACCACAGATCCATAAAAACATAAAATAAAATAAAATAAAAACAATTGTACAAAACATTATAAATTTAACATCCCAAAAACATCAAACAATTATTCATCATTACAAAAAAGTGCACATTATTAACAACTCTTTGTACTGATAACAATATCAGTCAAAGGTACTAACAGCACATAACATAGTAACATATCATACATAACAACACTTGCTTGCCATTTAGCCTTCACTGCTACATCATCTTTGGCACTGAAATCAAGTCCAAAGTCGAACCATACTGTCCGATCAGAGCTTGAGCACACCATCCGTGGCCATCATCGACAGTTGGCATCCTAACTTCCATAAAAGGCATCGTTGGAACAACCCCACCAGCTGAAACTCTCAAGACGTTTGAAGCATCGATATCCATACACACTCTGATTTGCAGAACTCCTTTCGGAGCCGGAGGTATTCCCATGATCTTGAAATAGCCCAGAAGATGATTCTTTTCCAATGATTGATCGTCACCTTCATAGACAACAATCAGTGCTTCAGATTGGTTATCATGGGCAGTTGTGAAAATCAATTCTTTCCTTGATGGCATTGTTGTGTTTCGATTTATAATGGGTACAAAAGCGTTTCCATTGGCTCGAATCCCAATGTTCAGAGGGGTGGCTTGAATTGTTAACAGGTCTAAGCTCCCAAAAGGGTCACTGATACCGGAGGCAACAGCTCCTTCCAATGCCGCTCCGCAAACTGCAGCCACCAATGGATTCATCCTGGTATAACTTGTCTCGGTTTTACATATGCCCAGAACAAGACTCCTTATCCTTGGTATATTCGAACAACCGCCTACAAGTATTACATCATTCACATCCTCTACATCCACCTTTGCATCTTGCAAGCACTGTTTTACGAGGGTCTCACATTTCTCAAACACATTTTTGTTTACTTCCTCGAATTCCACCCGGTCCACAATCTTATGTATTTTTGATCCATTTCCTAGATCAACGTCAACTTGAACACTAGTTTGTAATGAGAGCTTGTGGATCGCATCCTGAGTGGCAACTCTAAGCAACCCCATTGACTTGATCTCGTTAATTCCATGGCTCGAAAAGAGATTGTCCATATTGGGCAAGAGATGGCACATCATATTTTGAAGTATGTCTTCTCCTCCGATGGTACTTCCTGATAATGCTTTTATCTGTGAAACTCCTCCGGCCGTAGCAGTTATAGCTACATCACAATACCCGGCACCCATATTAAAAATAAGTGCAATCTTTTCACTTCCACTGCCCATATTCTCATGCATGTTCTGTTGCTGTTGCTGTGCATATAACAGAGCCACAGCTGTTGGTTCGGGCATCAATCTCAGTACATGAAGGCCCGCCATGGCACAAGCTCGCTCAATTCGGGTTAGTTGGAACCGGCTGAATGAAACTGGAATAGTTAAAACAACATTCCTCACTGGACGCTTTAAATGAATTTCAGCCAAGGCTCGTAATTCCACCAAATATATTGCAAGAACTTCTTCAGGAGTTGTAGATCTCCAAACGTTATTCACTAACGCTGCAACAAAGGGTCGGACACCAATATCCAATGTTTGTACCAAAAATGGAAGGTTTTTGCTTGAATGAACAACTGGGTCGGTGTCCGCTCTACCAATTAGGCGTTTCATGTTGAAGATTGCAGCACCGGATAACATTTCGTACTCGTGAGACAGCTGATAGCTGACTCCACCAGAAGGAATTTCGTCTTTGAAGGTGACAAATGATCGCATCAGCTTTTGGTTTCTAGCATTCCTAAGGAGCTCTATTTGGGAGCCGTTCCATACTGCCACACTGGATTGAGAAGTACCGAAGTCGATTCCAATAGCGATTTCGGGAAAAGCAGATGAAGATTTTTCCTCTCCAATTGTTTCACTATCAGATGCCACAGTGTATGCTGGTTCAGCCATTCCTGCATTATGAATAGTTGTTTACCAAATATGACTCAGGCATTTCCACATTTGTCAATAAACATTGATGACACAATCGTTCACTTTCCACCCACGTCCTCTGTTTGGTTTAGTTTCAAAATCTGTTTTTTGATTTATTATTATTTTTTTAAAAATAAATCTAAAAGCTAATAGTTGAAAAAAAATCACTTCCATATAATTTTATCTTTTTTAGGGCAGAAATAATTTTAAAGATTCGAAAAAATCTTTTTGATGTTTATTTTTGTCAAACTATTTTTCATTTAAAAAAAATCAGAAAATAAATTCTGAAAATCAAACAAAACAAAGTACTCCTAAACCTTCAGGGAAAGAATATGGTACACACCTCTGCGTACCATATGCATCTTATAACTACAAAAGAAAATGACATAACTTTATACTTTCTGAATCATAACTAAAAACAAAAAAAAAGTCATAACCAAATATCTCAAAATAATGTCATAACTAAAGAAGAAAATTGGTCGCCAAGGGTGCATATCGTATGAGGGTGTGTATAATAGAATTCTCCAAACCTTTATCACAAAGAACTAATAAGATAGTTGTTCTTGTTCATATGGACATAACATTGCAAAATTTCGAGAGTGATGCCACTTTGAAAAAATTAAGCATAAAGTGATAATCAATTATGTTTACATACCGAAGAAGGCCTTTAATGAGCTATGAATTATTTTCATACAATATAGGAGATACACCAATATATCTAGCAATACCTACCCTACTTCACAACAAACTACTGATACGACATGTAACGAATGTTGGCTAATAAATTCTAAAGCAGTACGTCTTATGCATTGCAAGGAGGAGGTGCACGCCCCATGCCAAAAATGTAAGCCTTTTAGTTTTATTATTCTAGTAAATCACAAAGACATTATAAAGAAAAAGTTTCAGTGCATTATTCTAGTGATGTCATGGTTGAAGCATATGTAAAGCCTCCTTCAAAGAAGCAAGACGGGCCCCTTGAAGAACAAACAGGGTTAATCCATTGTGTATCAAACCCTCTTCCTGGTCTTAGTTTTTTCGGAAGTGATTTCAAAGCATCATTGAACAAGACTTGGGAAACAGCACCACTCAAAATTTTGGGGGAAATAACTAGTAAACTCTATCACAAAATCCATAACTACTTTTGATCTCTATTCTTGCAATTAATTATAGGTATTAAATAATCAATCTGTCAAAAAACACAATCCTTTGAGGTCTTTCAACAAACATCTTTGTGGCATACATGTTGTCCATCTAAAAACAAAGATTAGGAGGGGGCAACCAATGTTTTGTATATCTATATAATTAGATCAAAATTGTGGATAAATTGGTCAAAATAAACACCAAAGCATTACTTATTGGGGAAAGTGCCTTTAAATGAAAACAACTCAAAATAATTGCACTTGCGTCCGGTGCAAGTGAAATTTGTGAAATGCGAGACAACTCTCACTCGCTCTAATTTGCTCCAAGTGCTATGAAACTATCATAGTGACCTTCTTCTTCATGACAGTCATAATCTATCTCTTTAATGCACTAAATGATGCAGCACTTGTAGCCAAATTTAACAAGAGTTCATTAAGAAACCATTTAACAGACTATAAAAATCAAGATAACAATGAAGAAAAGAAAAAAAAAAAGAAAAGAAAAAAAAAATCACAATTGGCTCAGATTAATAAATAAAACAATAAAAAAACAGAACAACCCAACTCTTAAAATGAAATTCAAGACAAAGGGTACGAAAGATTACAGTACAAGAGCAAACCAGCAATAAATTAACAGTGAAGGTAATTGATAAAAAGAAAGTAATATCATCATACAGAGAACAATACATAAAAGCAAGACCAACCCAATTCATAAAACGATGAGCAGATTAATGGGTAGAAATTACAATCATAAGAAATTCAGATTACGGTGCTCAAACTTGTACCATAAATCATTAGAGGAGGTTTTCCAATACACGCACATACAACAGAGAGAGAGAGCTAATGGAAAACTCAATGGATAGATAGAAGCAAAGTGCGTGTAGAGAGAGAACTTACAGTTGAGTGTGAGAGAGAGAGAGAGAGAGAGAGTAACAGAGAGGGGAGAGACTGCGAGAGAACAGACAAGAAGCACCGGAGGACTGTCTTCAATGAGTGCGGAGACTGGGTTATGTGAAGGAACTAAAACAAGGTGCTGGCACTTGTTCTAGAGTTTCCTAGAGAGACGAGGAAAGATTTAGAGGGAGAAAGAGGACACTAGTTACTACTCTCTCTCTCTTTCTGCTTTATTACTTCACTTTTTATTTGCTTTTACTACCTCATTTGATATAGGGTTATTTTGAAAGAAGGGTTAAAAATTATTTTTTTTTTATTTTTTTTTTAAAATATATATAAAAAATAGAGAAATAATATGATCTAAATTAAAAGTCAAAATTTAACTTTTAACCATTTTCCTAACAAAGCCCATAGAATCAAGAATGTGGATAAACTACACTACTCATTTACATTTTATTTCCCTGAATTTTAAAATTAACAATTAATTATTTTAAAATATTTTTTTATTCAATATTTTAGGGAAATTTTTTTGGAGAAATTACTTAACAGTCGAGTAAAGAAAAAAATTACTAAAATATGAAGGATGCAAGTAGTTTCATGTTGGGATACAAGTTAGTAATAGCAACGGGTCGGGTGGGGTCGGGGATTACACTCTCCCTCCCCGATCCCCGAAGGTATAAAATTTTCTATTCCTGCCCCCGATCCTTGGCGGGAAATCCATCACCCTCCGCCTCCTAACGAGGATCGGGTTTTCCCGATCCCGAAAAATCCCCTACCCATTTTTTTTTTTTTGAATTTTGCATATCCCTTTTTTTTTTTTTAGGCAAATAAAAATAATATATATAAAAGCATGATCTAGTAATGTCCAAACATAAATATCCAAACAACAATAACATGACAAACAAGATACAAAACAACGCACACACCACCAAAAAAAAAAAAAAGACATCCAAATAATGAGTCAAAAAAATCTCTAGAGAAACACATATGTAGAGGGGTATAATAATAATTTTAGTTCGAGATAGAAATGGGGGCAGGGATGGACTAGGGACAAGACGGGGGGGCTTATCACCGTCCATGCCCCCGAAAATTGTCGGGGATTCAGTTTCGAATACCATCCCCAACCCGTTGGGAGTATTTTTTGGAAAAAAACCGTTCTAATTAGGGTCAAGGGGCCCGATCTCCTCAGGTTGGGTTCAAATTGGGGATTTTTGGTGAAAAAACCCCCCAATTGGGCCTATTTTGTGTCCAACCCACGGAATAAAACAATGACCCCAAAAGCCCCTCAATTAAAAAAATATTATGAATTGACTGAAATGTCCTTCCATATAAGTGGGGAAATACGAAACAATTTCACCGTTTCTCTCCCCTCACTCTGTTTCATCGATTGACAAGCCTTCTCTGAATATCTATGCTCATTCGCAAACCCTAGCACCGATTGAAAACCCTTCTCTGAATCTCATTACTCTCGCTCTCTAGAGCTACTCTGTCTTTCTACCCCTGGAACGTTACACGTTCGTCGCTTGCGCTCGAATCGAACTCTGCATTACGCTTTACTCTCTCTTTTGGACACACATTTTGCAGGTGATTTTTTTCCCTTTCTGCTAGTTTTTCGATATTATGAAGTCTGTCTGGGTTTGTTTTCATTTTGCGAGTGGTGTATGAGATTACGTTGGCATGGTATGGGATGAGATTGTAAGGCTGCAAAGGATTTTTTTTCTTTTTTTTATTTATTTTTGCATTAGGGTGAGTAGAGTTTGGGATTTTGGGTTACAGTAAGGGTCATATGTTCTAAAATTTTTATCATTATCTTAAAATACTTTAAATTACTAAATCATGTGAGAATGTTAAGGTTTAAAATTTTTGAAAACTAATTTAGGTATTTCAGAATGGTGTATGCAGTTTTGCTTCAATTTCATTGCTTTGATTTCTGTAGTGTTTTGGTCCTGCAATTTCAATGCTTTCAATTTCACTTGCTTCATGAATTTTTCAGAGTCATATTTTACTTACAATGAGAGTAAAATTTTTCTTCCAACCAGAGTAAAATTTTACTTTAATTCGAGCCTTTGCTCATTACATAAATGTGCATATCAATTTGTGTGTATATATATATATATATATATATAAATCTATTTATGTATGTGAATGTGATTGTAGTTTCGTGATTTTTCTGATTTCGGTTTGAATGTGAATTGTACATGTTAATTTCAGAACTGTGTTGCGTATAGTCAAAATTGAGACAAGGTTTTGTTGATTCTTGGTTCTATAAATTTTGTATGTGTTTTTGGTTTATTTCCTAGGGTATATTGTTCAGAGTAAAATTTTACTTCCAATCAGAGTAAAATTTTACATCCAATCAGAGTAAAATTTTACTTTCAATAAAAGCAAAGTTTTACTTTCAGATTCACTTGTTTATAATGAGAGTAAAATTTTACTTTAACTCTAGCCTTTTTTTACTTTAA